TGAAATTACATATGTATATATAGTTTATTTTCATTTTTTAAAAACATTTTATTTATTTTATTATTTTATTTATTTATTATTGTAATTATACGTGTATATAGATATATAAATGTAAAAAATATATGTATATATGTATTATATATATCTTGTATATATATAACTTAATTCTTCTAAGTGTATTTTAATACTAATATATGTACTTACATTAATATTAAAATACACTACGTATGATGTTGTGTGTATATATATATAAGATGTATATATATTTTATATACACTATCCCTGCTTGTGGGTAATGTAAAAAAATTTTTATTAAACATGTTAAAATAAATTAAATGTGTGTATATGTGTGTGTGTGTGTATATATATATATATATATATATATATATATATATATATATATATGTATATATATATATATATATATACATATATATATATATATATATATACACATTTAATTTATTTTAACATGTTTAATAATATTGTTTTTTACACTACTCACCATCAGGGGGACTGTCTGACAGCTCAGACAGTCCCCCTGCTGGGAGATCCACAGCCAGCTGACCTGGGCTGTCAGGCAGTCCTTCCGAAGCGGATCGCGGTGGAGGTAAGTACCACGGAGCTCCTGGGGTCCTGGGGCCATTTGGGGGCTACAGTGTCCAATCGGAAAATCCATTTTGCCTCACATTGTAAAAGTGTCTTGGATCTATCCCCTCCATGAGATAGGGGGTGGGGGATATGATCTATGGCCATGAATTTTAAAGTTGAAAGCCTGTGTTGCATGGCAAGAAAGTGTTTTGCAACCGGTTTGTCCGTGTATTGATCCCTGAATGCGGTCATGATTGCTGAACAGTATCTTTGTATAAGAAGGGATAGATCTAAGACACTTTTACAACATGACACTGTAGCCCCCAAAGGGCTAAATGAAAATATTGTATGCAACATTGATATACTGTAACTAATCTTAATATATTTATCATGGGATACATTTGGATTATTTGCATCCTCTCAATTTTCTCTGTGGCATATTATTATTTTTTTACCATTATTGTGCATTTTTTTTGATTCTTTTGTATTTTTTTGTATATTTTTGAAGTTTTTTTTTTTTTTTTTTTACATAATGCCTTTAGTTAAAATATTTTTTGAATATGTGTACCTAGTTCAGGAAACCCGAGAGTATAGGTACTTTTCTGATTAATTTATCCACATATACCAGAACAGTAAGTAAATATATATACTCCTGAATAGATTGGGAAATTACCTGGTAACCCCGCTAGACTACTGTGACCATTACAACCTGTATTGAAATGTATGATGATATATAATGGGAATTCTACCTAAGGATCTCACTTTCCCCTTCCCATTTTTTATGCACTATTTTTTTCACTTGACTGTTGGTTTCCACACTTTTTCTGTCCGGTCACATTTACGGTTCTCACTTGATCTATTCCAGTTTCTTCTATAGATCTGATCCTCTTTACATTTAGAAAGTACACCTTTACAATATCATTATTGCAACTGGGATACCCTGTATGTTGTTCTAGTAATATGGGTTCAATCCCGGCACTTTGTTCAGTTTTTCTAGCAACCACATCACGTGACCTTCCGCACACTTCCGGGTTAGCACTGATCAGATGGAGAGAGGCACACTTCATTGATGAGTACACATGGCATATTTGAGATATTTCTTATATATAGCTTGTTATGTTTTGGTCACATTGATCTTAAGAAAGACCCTGAGGGATCGAAACGTTGATCACCGAACTTTTCCTGCAGTCAGCATGCCAATTGCACGCTCCCTCAAAACGTGCAACATCTGTGGCATTGTGCTGAATGATAAAAATGCACATTTTAGAGTGGCCTTTTATTGTGGCCAGCCTAAGGCACACCTTTGTAATAATAATGCTGTCTAAAATCAGCATCTTGATATGCCACATCTGTGAGGTGGATGGATTATCGGCAAAGGAGAAGTGCTCACTAACACAGATTTAGACAGATTTGTGAACAATATTTGAGAGAAATCGGCCTTTTGTGTACATAGAAAAAGTCTTAGATCTTTGAGTTCAGCTCATGAAAAATGGGGACAAAAACAAGTGTTGCGTTTATAATTTTGTTCAGTGTATATATATATATAAATATAGAACGAAACATATTGGATTATTCTACCTTTGACCTTTATTTATGTATATTTTATTTTAATATTGCTGCTGTCCCTTGAAAGGATGCTGAACCTGAATGTTTAGTTTGTTTATTCCATTTTATATCAGTGGAACATTCTATGTCTACGTTTCCAGGTTGGTATATTTCCTTTTTTACGTTTATTGTGATTTTTCCCATATTCTATACTGTTTGCACATTTGCCTTCCTCCAATCCTCTGGTACAATTCCTGAAAGAAAAGAATCTTGAAGGATTAAAAACAGAGGTTCATCTATTTCCACACTTGCATCCTTAAGTATTTGTGGGTGAAAACCGTCAAGCCCTGTAACTTTGTTTATATTTACTTTCTTTAGTTGCTGCAGCACCTTGTCTTGAGTCATCTAATCAAATTTTTCTGCAAGTAAGGACACTATATTGTGATCACTATTTCCCAAGTTCTCCCCTACTTGAATGTTGCTCAAAAGATCAACATTGTTTGTTATAACTAAACTGCTTTCCAGGGGAGGATACAGTGCCTAACCCTATATGTTACCTTTAGCAAGCTGTAACCCAGTTCCTATTGTGAACAAGTTAAACAGAAAACAAGTTTATCTATAGTCTCAGCATTCTAGTCACCCCTCTCCTCATGAATAATATTAGTGCCCCAACCAGTCTCTCATGGGCAGGAAACCAGGTCCCGCTCTTATTATTCATGTTAGGGCCTCCAGCCTTCACCAATAGGTGAAGCCTTTGGAGGAGCCTTTGGAGGAGACACGATTATAAATATTAGGCCTCTGCCTGTCACTCATGGGTGGCGGCCCGAGGGAAGGGACACCAGATCCTATCCATAAATCTTTAAAGTAGCCCCCACCCAATGCCCACAGGTGGGGGAACAGGTGGACTCTTTCACAGGCTCTAGCAAACGTGCAGCAATTTCTGCTCAGTCTCTGGTTTCAAATGTTTAGTAGAAATGCCTATGGATGTACATTACCTCTGTTATAGCAATATGATGGTCTTATTGACCCCATAAGCTTTTGTTTTAACTTGTTTAATGTGGCAGGTGGCTAGAAAGTGCTGTCTATCTGCTGTCCATCCGCCAGGGGGCACACAGTTTGGATTTTTATATAATCCAGGCCTGTAGGTGAAGCCTTTAGGCTCAGGTTTAATTCTTTCACTGAGTTCCATCAGCAATGTCCAGAATTGCATTCATTTCTGGGCCATTCGGACTTTAGTAAATAACGCTGTATATCAGTAATTGTCATGAACTGACAAGGGATTCGTGCATTTTAGGATATAAAGAAATAGCTGACCTTGAGAATTTTTGCTATTCATCCTAAATTTCACATTTCCCTAGTCCATTCCAACCATCCCAATTCAATGTAACTAGAGTGTACTTGTTACCCTAACAATTTTTCTTTCAAAATTTTGAGTGGCAGCACGGCAAGCTATTCCAGCGGCTTTACCTAATCTCATTACATGGTTCAGGGGCTTTGCCCAACTCCATGACAGAGGTGACTGCAAAAAGAGCATCCCTTCTCTAAGAGCACAGGTTACCTAGGGATTACGAGATATATGGATTTACTAACGCCTAATTAGGAATTCTTGGATATGCAAATAAAGACCTACTCAGATTAAATGTATTTAGGAATAAATCTCATGTTATTTTACTTAAACTGTTTCTGAACCCAGCAAAGCATACATATGGAAAGGAAACTTATGTGAAACAGATGAGAAATTGAGAATAAATTTGACTTGAAACCTGTTTCGTGCACAGCTTTGTAATTATTATTCATGAACGCTTTGTGCAGTGTTTTCTACTTTGACCGCATCCTCATATCAATATACAAATGGTAAGTGGAATTGATTTAAATCTTTATTTTACCTTGTTTTGTTCATAAAGACCTCAATCCATATATTAACCACATTTGCATGAGATATGGCATATTTTATTTACGTGTATTTGCAAGTTAGAAATATATATAACGCAGAGAACAGCAAGGTACAATTATGTAGGGTAAAAAAAAGAAACATATAGCACATGTTATAATCTGAAAATTGGATAATCATATAAATGGATACCATTAAAGCATTATTTTTCCACCAATTTACTTTTGAAGCTTTTTTTTTTAACCAATCCTGCACCACCCACTTCACATTTTCACCAGCAAATGTGGATGAGAACAAATTATAAAAATGAGATAAGAGATATGCAGAGGAAAGCAAAAAAAAAAGTAATTTAGAAAAAGTTAATTAACCCCTTCATAACAAGGACTATTTCGTACCTGTATGACAAAAATTTATCTTTATTCATTTGATTCTTTGGTAATTTCCTTTATACTAATTTACTCATTGAATTCACAAGAATGTATTGCAGGCACTTTTTTTTAAAAAGACACTGAAAAAAAAAGATTTTTTACAGTTTTGCTTTCAATAATTTGTGGGCAGATAGTGCAAAAAAAGAAATCTGAAAGCCTTTTAGTCTATTTTTCCTGATTATGAGCTTACCTGGGACTTTTGCAGCTAAAGGTCATACGCCAAAAGGAATGCATTCTTATTTCAAAGCTAAACATGACCACATTTTGATTTAGTAGTTGGATTGCTAAGTTCGATAGCCATTACTGTACTAAAAATTTCTATATATATATATATACATATATATATATATATATACTTCTTAATAAATAGACACCCTAAGGTATTTACTTATAAGGTCTAAGACATGATTATTTATCATTTAGTCACCAGTATCTGCTAAAATTACATATTATATTTCGTTTTAAAACATATAGATACAGACACTCAGTCAGTCTGGTCACCAGGACCCCACAAAAGGCTGGTATCTAGTACAAATGGGGTCCATCACGCACACTCTTGGCCACCCAGGGAAGGACCACCTACCGAATCTCATCATAAGAATCTGACCCTTACCTCTGCAGCTTAAGAGCTGGATAGGGCCAAGGCCTTCCACTCCGGGATGCTTCTGAGACATACCTAATATCGTCCCCTTTCATGCCTTACTCTGAGACCAATACAGGATGAGGCTACAATGGTGGACCTGAACTAAACTTTGCCTCTTCGCGGTGGAGTCTGCCGCTGGACTGAAAGCATAATTTTAGTTTTGTTTTCCTTTAGCTTTTATGTACAGTTTTGCCAAGTTATCCCGCTTTTCTAATTTTAAGATGGTTGGAAACCAATCCTTAGTGGCCGGTCAGATCCACTTACACCCATCCTGCCCTTGGTGCTCAGGGGTTAAGGAGCACCACCCTTAACTATTTCTCCAACCTACCTTGCGCCTCTCTCAATACTTTACAATGTACTAGCCTAACTGTAGAATTCCCCTTATTTTGAGGCGTATCAGCTATCTAATCTCCCTATATGCCACTAGTCGCAAGGCCTTCCTCAGTGAGTGAAAGTTCCTAGTTCGAACAATTGTGCTACATGATTGCCCATAACTTACTCAGCCCAAGCTAATTTCATTCAATAACTATAAATATTTTTCTCCAACTACCCTAATCCTCTATAGCTTTATGTTCATAAACATACACTTGAATTTTTATGATGTCATGACTTGCTATTCTGTGTTTAATTTTTGACATGTGACACTTTGGAGCAAAGCATAAATAAAGAATTTTAAAAAACATATAGATACAACATTGTATTTTATTTTCTCTATTGCAGTAATTTGTGTGCCATTAGTACAGAAATATCCCTCCAATTATACAAGCAAATTTAGGGCATTGATTTTTTTAAATGTTGAATCTTAACGCAGGGCCTGGGCCTCTTTCTATATTTTTTGACAGTTGACGTACCATTTACGTTTAGTTTAGGAAAGAAATATTTTTTATTTTCTAAATTCTAGGGTTGAGGCATATTGTAAATTTTCCCCTAATCTTTTCTCTTGCTCAGAAAAGTTGTACTTGAAAGAGAGTTTATGTGCACGTACACATTAATTGTCAGGGTACAGTGCACAAGCACACAGATCCTGGATCAAAGCAACAGAATGCGTATACCGGTCCTTAGAGTGGCAAGGTTTATGCAGGACAGATGGAATAATGAAAAACAGTAACAAGCCAAGGTCAGGAGTACAGAGATACGGAATAATAATAAAGTAGTGCGGAAAACAGAATAACGAAGAATCTAGCAAAGGTCAGAATAACGGAATACACAGAGTCAAGAACAAGCCAAGGTCAAAGCCAGAAAATCTGAATACTATTGAAATAAACAAGCTGATTGGGAACCAAATGGAAAACATGACAGGGCAAAGACTATGTGCTAAAAACCTATAGATACATACAGTATCTCACAAAAGTGAGTACACCCCTCACATTTTTGTAAATATTTTATGCTATCTTTTAATGTGACAACACTGAAGAAATGACACTCTGCTACAATGTAAAGTAGTAAGTGTACATCCTATATAACAGTGTAAATTTGCTGTCCCCTCAGAATAACTCAACACACAGCCATTAATGTCAAAAGGGCAAAAATGTGATAAAACATCAACCCAATGGCCCCCCAAAACAAGGACAGAAGGTGCCTTTAGCAAGTGTGCTAAGAAAGGATAAGCTTAGAGTCATGTCTACAAATGCTCGCAGTTTAGGGAATAAGATTCATGAACTTGTGGCAATAATGGCAACTGATAATGTAGATTTAGTCGCTGTTACTGAGACATGGTATAATGAGAAAAATGACTGGGACATAGTAATACCAGGGTACTCTTTATATAGAAAAGACAAAGAAGGCAAGAAAGGGGGAGTGGTTGTAGTTGGTGGAATGGGGTAGGTCCAATAAGTGGTCAAAGTTCAGACCCTGTGTGGAGACTCAGTAGCAGGCCCCAGAGGTCTTGGCTTTGAGCTGTGTAAGGATCCCCCAAATTGCTGATTGTAACCCTCACTTCCCCACACTATAACCCTCACCTCCCCCAACACTGTCTCCCTCACCCCCCTCCCATAATGTTACCCTCACCTCCCTCCCACATACTGTCACCCTCATCTCTATCCCACACTGTCACCCTCACCTCCCCCCACACTGTCACCCTCATCTCCCCCCACACTGTCACCCTCACCTCCCCCCACTGTAACACCCACCTCCCCACCCACACTGTCAACCTTACCTCCCTTCCACACTGTCACCCTTCCCCCCCAACTGTCACCCTCACCCTCCCCACACACAGTCACACAAAAGAACACCTTTATTTAATATCCATCACTACATATAAACACCACTACATTCAGACACAAACACTACACACAAGTACACCACTTCATTCCAATGGCAAATTCCATGATTTGCCACGTTTATGCCTCTAAACTGCCATGACTTGCCAAAATTATGCCTCTAAAACTATCATGAGATCCCAGAAGTATGACTCTAAAACTGTCATGATATGCCAAGTATCTGCCTCTAAAACTGTCACGATATGCCAAAATTATGCATTTAATACTGCCATGATATACCAAAATGATGCCACTAAATCTTCCATGCTATGCCTTGTTTATGCATCTAAAACTGGTTGCCATAAAGTGCCAAGTTTAGGCATGTAAAACTGATTGCCTTGATATGCCAATTTTATGCCTCTAAAACCAATTGCCATGGTGTGACAATTTTATCCATCTAAAGCGGATTGTAATGGTGTGCCAATTGCACGCCTCTAAAACTGATTGCCGTGGTGTACCAATTTTATGCTTCTAAAGCTGACATTATGTGCCAATTTTATGCATTTAGAACTGGTTGCCATGGTGTGCCAGTTGTATGCCTCTAAAGCTGATTACCATGGTGTGCCAATTGTATGCCTCTAAAGCTGATTGCCATGGTGTGCCAATGTTATGTATCTAAAGCTGATTGCCATGGTGTGCCAATTATATGCCTCTAAAACTGATTGCCATAGTGTGCCAATTTCATGCCTCTAGAACTGCTTGCCATAATGTGCCAATTTTATGCATCTAAAGCTGCCAGAATGTGTCAATTTTAAGCATCTAAAAATGATTGCCATGGTGTGCCAATTTTATGCCTCTAAAGCTGATATCCATGGTGTGCCAGTTGTATGCCTCTAAAACAGATTGCCATGATGTGCCAATTTTATGCATCTAAAACGGATCACCATGGTGTCAATTTATGCCTCTAAAGCTGATTGCCATGTTGTGCCAATTTTTTGCCTCTAAAGCTGCCATGGTGTGTCAAGTTTATTCATTTTGAGAATATGCATTAAAAGAGAGCGGGTCTTGAAAAATTATAGTTTTCAAAAGTGGGTCTCGACCCGTAATAGTTTGGGAAGCCCTGATCTAGATAACGAGTGTGGGAGTGATACTCCCAAGTATTTAATGGCCTTGGGGGCCTATGTGAAGGGGAATTGTTGTGTGAGAAGGCGCCGGTCGGCAGCATGTATATTGAGTGCTAGGATCTCACTTTTGGTAAAATTAACTTTGAAGTTCGCTATACAGCGTGATATCATTAATGAAGTGCGGTATAGTGCTCAGTGGATCAGTGATTGCAAAAAGCTGTTGCCCAGTTTATGGTCCTTCTGTGCTGCTTGTATCCCGTGTATATGGGGGTTGTCCCATATGTCCTGAAGGAAGGGTTCCATGATTAATACAAATAGGAGCGGGTAGAGGGGGCACCCCTGTCTCGTGCCATTTCTGATGACTACTGCATCGGATAATTGGCCATTAATTTTCAGTTTTGCCGTTGGATTGGAGTGTATTGCTTTAATACATTTCATCCAATTAGGCCCAAACCCCATAGCCTGTAATGTAGTGAGAAGTAGGGACCAGTCTACCCTGTCAAATGCCTTTTCAGCATCAATTGAGAGCAGTAAGCTCTGCTTCGGTGATAGTTAAAAAAAAAAAAAAAATTTACATTCTTTATTTTGTTGTACTCAGATTTACTGTACATGTTTGTCTGGCCACAATAGCGTCCACAAGCTCAGTTATAACAATTATTGGTGAGTACCAGTATGGCATTTCGAGTGACAGCACATTTTTTTTTTTGTGAGAAAACATTGTGAAGAAACATGTCGGTTAACATAATAAAACTTAATCATGCAGTAGGTAGCTTCTGAGTTAACACCAACAACAGATTGCACAGTATAGGCTGCATCCCAAACTTTGATAAAAACATAATATAAGCACCTCACACTGTACAAGACACAGTCTAAACAGTAGTAAAAATGCAATTATGAATTTGCCGTGTTCTTAGTGCCAAGCCTGTTTGTCTGAAGTTTAGAGTTAGATTAGTATTTGGAAGCATAAACGGCACGTAGTGTGAAAGGGCTATGTTCTAACAGCAAGATATCAGCTGTGTGCGTTAATTATAACATGTATATGAGAGTTGAACTTATGCATTTAAACGCAGAGACAGTGACAGGCCTGACATTCCTACGTGCCATGAGTATGTGTCTTAGCAGGCTTTTTTGATACCTATGGCGTATGTGAGTGGTCATGGCGGACTCAGTGGGCTCATGAATTGAGAATAAAGCAAAAGTAAAATGTTTAAATTAAAAGTACATAAGCTGTGTTGTACCCCAGAAATACATATTAAGGTGGACCTGCTGGTTATGTTATGGTGTATGCTGGGTTGATACGGCTAATGTATAGGTGCACGATGGAACTGACTGGCTTTCGTGTGACTGTTAAGTTATGTGAGAGTAGGCTAACGTGGGTAAGAAAAGTTAAAGTGGGCCGCTATATTTCAGGCACAGTAGTCTAAGTGTCGGGCTTGTTGCTTCCTTAGGGTAGGTACACAATTCCTCAATCTGTGTGGTTTTGGAAAAAACAAACAAAAAAACTTTGAGCCACTGGCAAACTTGGACTCACAACCCTCCGAAAGGAATGCGTGGCGCTGTACAGTTCTTTTTTGCAGATCATACGAGGTAAGTCCTGCTTCAGGTGGTGGCCTTGGCATATGAATCCACGGGTGGTCTCCGCGGAACAAACTCTGGTGCACTTGAGGAGTATCTTCCGTGTGGGCGCGTTTGTCCTGCTGATGGTGTCGCCGGAGCCAATGGTTCTGTGGGGAGGCCAAGTAAGCCCAGTGTCCCAGTGGCCTCTTGCATGTCGTGTATTACATGCTTGGTGCCTTCCTTATCTATGATGAGAGTACGGCCAGGTCCCCAGCAGTACCGGATTTGATGGAGGCGCAGGAGAGCTGTGAATGGGCTCATTGATCTCCTCCATGCCAGCATCCCGCCCGATAAATCTGCATAAAAACAGAGGGTCATTCCCTCAAAGGGGTATGTGGGCTGAGCTCTAACAACCTCTAGGATCGCTTTCTTGTCCCTGAACGATTGAAACTGGAAAATTAAATCCCCTGACGTGGCATGCGAAATATTTCCTCCAGGATGATTGCTTTCGCTGCCTTTGGGTTTAACAGTTCTGTGAGTAATCTCCTGATGAAATGTGGGAGTTCGGTCTCTGGAACAGAGTCAGCAACCCCCCGAAGCTTTATGTTGTTCCGGCGGGACTTATCTTCGTGGGCTGCGAGTTGTTGCACGTGTTGCCAGGTTTTCTGTTGCATGTCTCAGATCGCTGCTTGGAGGTCCGCGATCTGACTAGTGTGGTTGGTAGAGGTGGCTTCCACCGCCCCCAGCCTGTTAGTAATGCCTTTAATGTCCTCTCTGAGCAGGGCCACATCATCCGCAATTTTTTTGTGATGGACTGCCATAAGTGCCCCAATTGCCTCCATGGGCACAGGGGTTGGGGTCTTTATGGGTGGCTGTGCCCATGTAGATGGTGGGATAGGCATGGACACCATGGGGTCTCCATCGTCTTCCGACGACGACCCGTCTGTAAAGTCTGAGCAGCCGCCGTGCAAGGACGCCATCTTGGCTCCTGTTGCATTGTGCGCCTGCCGCCATAATTCCCCGATATCCATGCCCTGACGGGGCTTATCGGGTTTTGCCTTCTTATTTTTTCGACCCATGGAGCCCAGGGAGTTCTCGGGGTCTTCCTGGGGCAAGTTTGGCTTAAATTTAGATGCCAAAAAGGTGCTTAATTAGTCCGCTAGTCCGGAGCTCCACGGCCATCTTCGGCGATAGTTTTGATAGGTAGATTAGGTTAATTAGCTCAGTGGTGTTGTTTTTCACTTGTCTCCCAGGTATGAAACCTGCCTGATCAGGGTGGACCAGGATCTGCATTAGGGGGCGCAGGTGGTTAGCTAGAATTTTAGTGAATAGTTTGATGTCTATATTTTTTAGGGAAATAGGATGGTAGCTGCCACATTAGGCAGGATCTTTATTCGGCTTGGGCAGTAGGGTGATATGTGCTTCCAGTGCTGAGTTCGGGAGACTATGTATGGTCGTGAGGGAATTAAAAGCTTTCAAGAATGGGTGTTGCAGGAAAGCAGCGAATACTTTAAAGTATTTTGCTGTGAACCCATCTGGTCCGGGGCTTTTGCCGGTGGGTAATTGCTTGATTGCTGCATTGTATTCATCAGGGCAGATTGGGTCGTCTAGGACCTGCCTAGGGGAAGTAGGGAGTGCAGCTTTGATTCTATTTTCTTGATACTGGACAGTTTCTCCCTCTGAGGGAGGGGATTCACTGACATTGTGTAGTGATGTATAGTATTCCTTAAAGCCCTTCAAAATCTCTGGGAGAAAGTGGGTCGTACCTCCAGAGGCTTGTTTAATAGATGCTATGAAACTAGTGTGCCTAATTTGCTGAAGGGCCCTGGCCAGCACCTGCCCGCATTTGCCACCTTGGGAGTAATACGTGTGTTTGGTAAAGAGCACTTTGCGCTTGATTTGTGCGTTAAGAAGGATCTGGAGTTTTGCTCTCTTGTGTATTAACGTGTTGTAATCTGCAAGGGATAAGTGTTGTTTAATGCCTATTCTCGAGGTCCCTGATGTCTGTTATGAGTGTGTCCCTATTTGCTTCCCTTTGTTTTTCTTTTTTTGCTTGCTATGGCTATAATTACACCTCTCAGGACACATTTATGTGCCTCCCAGTTATCATAGGGGCTGTGGAGGGTGAAGAATTTCCCCAAAAATAATGGGATAAAGCCTCGTCAAGTGAGCGAACACATTCATTATCATTAAGGAGCATATCATTTAGTTTCCAATGGGATAGATGGTGAGGTAAGGCTGAAATCATAAGGGCAAGAGATAGGGGTGCATGATCCGACCACGTGATGGGGCCATAGGAGCAATTTTGGATTAAGTGGAGATATCTGTGCAGAAGAAAGAGCATGTCAATTCTGGAATAAGAGTTGGCTGCATGCGAGTAAAAGGAATAATCTCTTGCTGTAGTTTGAGTAATGCACCAGCTGTCATACAGTTCTTCTAGGTCTAGCAGTTCATTGTGCGAGGGTACCGCAAACTTTTTTTTTAAATAAAAAAAATAAAAAAATTTGTGTATAAGAGATTAGAAAGCCAAATAAGTATACTGATAGGTACATCTGCACTTACCGAGTCCCTCCCCATCCCCGCCCGCATAAAGAAAGCTAAGGTCCACATTCCCTCTTATCCCTCTGGTGTAGAAGGTTGCATAGAAAGGGTAGTGTTGTAGAATTATAGAATTCTTGAAATTATCTAAGCTAATGCTTTGGCAGGAAGAAATGTGCTGAATAATAAAATGTGTATTTACTAAAAGAACCTTGAAACTAACAATACTAACTACTCAAAATGGCTGCCAAAGCACCCCTCCCATCGAGTGAACACCTCGTGCTAATAAGATGGGGCCTATATCTTGTGTCCACTCCCGTGTCAAGGATGACATCACCTCTTGATAGGAGGGTATCTAACTAACCACTTAACACCTGGACCAATCAATAGTGTCTATTTGCTGTTATCTTGAATTCTTCAGTGATGTAAAAATGCCTTTAAAAGGGTCTGCGCACCCATTTTCTGTTAGAAGCCATTAAACTTCTCCGAAGTTCTTTCATTAACCTGAACTCTGTGTCTCAGTGTGAATTTACTTCTGCGTGCACGCAACTTTATTATCTTTAATTTGGACAGGAACAGATAGTCATTCAAACTAATTGGTTTGCAGTAAATAATCTACTACAATTTGGCGCCCAATGTGGGGCTCAGGGTTATGTCCTGCCCGGGCAGCCGTCCAAGAAGACGCTGGGGGGGATGAATCCTGGGGGAAGGAAAAGAGCCTGATCACCTCTGAGTACACGGTGGAGACTGCTGCAGCACCTAGCCGGTATGTTCCTACCCCTGTGATTGACCTGTCCCAGTGTCTGTGACTGCTGCCGAGAGGACATCAAAGTCAGGTAATAACTTGCCCAGAGTCTTTATATTGTTAATGATACCTAGTTTACCTGCATGTTGACTATCTGTTGCCTGGGTGTGTTTGTATTGGTTTGTGTTTAGCTTAGTCCCCGGGGAGTGTGAGTGCCTGTTTACCCCTTTTAGGTGCTAGGTGGCTCTAGCGGTAAAGGAAAAAGGGGAGGGGACCTGGTGGAAGTCTGTGTGGACTCACTACTTTCTCAGGTCCAGGGTGTCACTTTGAGGGCCTGGCTAGCCTCATTGTGCACGTTACTCTGCTTGCAGAGGGTGAGACACTTCTGCCACTGCTATGTCCTACTTCTTACCCACACCATTAAAAAAGATGCACCTCAATTTACCCGCCTGTGACGGGCCAGAATATGCCTTCTGTATCATGTGGTACAAGCCAACCATCAACCCTGACCCAACTATGGGCCAGCATGGATGAACTACAGCTCCAAGAAAAAGGCGTTGTCAAGTACCCAACAACTGAACATGTAAAAGCATGGCCACGATACTTTCTGGAAGAAGAATTTGAAGATCTGGTCATAAAGCACGACTATGATCCAGAAATGCCCCATAACTGTTTTGAACAGATGAAAATGGAAACAACACATTTGCCAACCGTGCATGAGGATCCACTAATAGATCCTGACCTCACCCTGTTTGTGGACGGCTCAAGGTATGCTGATGAAGAAGGAAAATATCACACAGGATATGCCGTCACCACAACAGATGAAATTATCAAGTCATCATCTCTACCATCAACAATGTCTGCGCAGGTAGCTGAATTACAAGCCCTAACTTCAGCATGCAAGATATCTGAAGGAAAGCGCGCCAATATCTACACAGATTCAAGATATGCACTGGGCGTGGCTCATGACTTCGGATTAATTTGGAAAACAAGAGGATTTCTTACCACTGCCGGTACACCAGTCAAGCACAGTTCTGCAATCAAGGAGCTGATGGATGCCCTCCTACTCCCAGAAGAAGTGGCCATTCTGAAGGTAAAGGCACATGGGAAGTTGGATTCGGATGAAGCAAGGGGCAACCATCTGGTTGATCAAGCTGCAAAACAAGCTGCAAGAGAACTACAGGAAGTGGACAGAAGTGTGTCCGGAAACGAAGAAACTCCCACATTTACCTTGCAGACACTTCCAACTGATCTAATAATCCTACGGGAACAACAGGCTGCAGTTGCTCCTGAAGAAATACAAAGATGGAAACAGAAAGGGGCAGTTCTGAAGGATGGAGTGTACTCCAACAACCTCAAGTTCTGCCTCCCTAAGAATTTGTACCCAGCAGTCGTACAATGGGCACATGGACCTGCACATTTATCAAAGGATCTAATGAATGCTCTTGTACAGAAATACTACGAAGCACCCGGAATTACTACACTAACCAGTAACTACTGTAAGGCCTGTGTTATTTGTGCTAAATGCAATCCAGGAAAAACAATCAAAGTTCCTCCAAAACATCTGGTTAAACCCATGTATCCATTTCAAAGGATTCAAATCGACCACATCCAGATGCCAAAGAGTGGTCACTATGAATATGCACTAGTGATAGTGGACATGTTCTCAGGCTGGCCAGAAGCCTATCCAGTAGTCAACATTACCGCCAAAACAACAGCAAAACGTCTACTCACAGAAATTGTATGTAGATTTGGACTCCCAGAAGTTATTGAAAGCGACCAGGGCCCAGCTTTCACAGCATCAGTAACTAAAGAGATTTGGACTGCCCTAGGAGTGACCCTCGCATTCTACATGCCTTATCACCCACAAAGCAGTGGCAAAGTGGAACGCATGAATGGTACCCTAAAAGCTAGAATGTTAAAAATGTCACAAGAAACAAAGATGCCCTGGCCAGAAAGCTTGTCAATAGCTCTATTCAGTGTCAGACACACACACCCTGGAACCAAGATTTGACGGACCATTCCAAGTTCTACTGATCACCTCCACCTCCGTCAAGTTGGCTGGGAAAAGCA